CATAGGTGTAATATATATATATATATATATATATATATATATATATATATATATATATATATATATATATATATATATATATATAATATTTATATTTTTATATTTTTCACAATATAGTACACCGCTCTATTCATTGATATTGATGCTCCTTTCCACTTTGGGTTTGCTGGAAGAGAACTCTTTTAGAGTGAAGCTCGCCTTTGTACATTTGATTACTTCTGATATATTTTTATAATTGGTTTGTACCGTACGTTGCAACGTATTAAATAAAAAATAACTATTTACAAAATTTCATTAATATCGTTAGTGATTTTTCGAGAACAACTTGCACGAACGTTAGATTAAAACATTAGGTTATATATATGTATATTGGTGTAATAGAAAGTATACCGTTTATCTAATAGTAAACAGTTACCATTGCTTGTGGTCACCTATAACGAATGACAGGCGTGCCCGTTAAAGAATTGAAAGTAAATAATACCTAATATCGTATCAAAAGATTTTTTCATAGAGTTACATGGTCCCCATTATTCTATTGTGCGTTTATCATTTCATGACACTCGGGCTGTCACCGCCATTCCAATGATATGTCAATTATTAAAATCCATTCAGTCGTTTCCATGATATGGGGGAAATATGAAGGGGGAGAGACATAAACATATAAAGGTACTACGTGATCCATGAAAACGTACTCTTTTTTTTTGGAAAATATATAATTAGGCATTATTTTAAAATCAGTATGATTTATGAAATCACATTTTTTTTTTTATTAAAGAGCATTACGATCTAGTTTAAAAGATTAGGAAGATTGATAAAAATGTAGTAATATTTTTTCTATGGCACCTTATACATACCTATAAGCTAAGGTTAAAACTACGACTTAAGACTTCGTAGTCTTAACCTTAAATTATAAGATATACAGATTGGCAATGTAAAAGAGAGAAAACATAATAAAGTTTATACTAGAGCAGGATAGACAAGTAGGATATGCACCTACACAATATAAGCTCGAAACTCGATTATGAACTAAATAAATTATAATTATTTTTTCCTTTTGAATTGGATTTAGTTTTAAGTGAATATAGTTAAAATTAAGAGTACAGTATCTGGATATAACGTAAATTAGAAAAAATAACCACAAAATGGCACATTTTTCACGTAATTACGCTTAAACGTTTATCTTTTTATTGAATATGATATTATAGAACAATCAGAAATGTTTTGTACAAAAATTGGGAGTAAGTCCAACTTAACCCAAATAAAGTTTTAAACGTCCACGAATTGAAAAAAAAAATATAATAAATACATTTAATTTTTCTACTTATTTTTGCAACTTCAATTCCATATAAATTCAGACCTGTCACTTGCATACGTTTACAAAACACACACATCAGTGTAACCATTTTCTTGTTAATTTTTTTTATATATCAGTTTTACGGCTCTGAATACAAGTCCTTTTCTGTGATTGTATTTCCTGTCTGTCAGTATATAATAGTCAAAGAAATAGAGGAGGTACTATTAGATTAAGATAATTTATGTAAAAAATATTAGTAATTAATTATTTTAAGATATGACTGTGTTTTTAAATTATTAAAAAAAAAAAAAGAATTTCTTAATTTAGTTGTATGTATATGTCACATATTTCTTCGCAGATTTGAAACTCATTTTGATAATTATTTTCACAATGAGGTTCAATGCTCTTGTATTCTGTACAATTGAAGTCTATTTTTGTCTTCGTGGAACAAAAACAAATATAATTATAGTAATCGCGAATTCAAATCTTAAGTACCATTTTTAAAGCCATTATTCTAGTCATCTCATTGAGACACGACACATTAACTAGATAAAACTTGAACATTGCAATGTCTAAGAGAATACGCTGCGGAATAGTCGAGTGGGTGTCAGATTTATATGCGGTTCCTGTTGTTCAGTATAAATCAGTGCATGACACACAAACTGGCGGAAGTTCTATTTTAATATGCTGCAAGGGTAGCATCTCTTTGTGATAATACTCATATTAGAATAAGTAGCATTTTGTTCCAAAAAAAACACTGACTTCAATTGTGAAAAAACCAGTAATGTTGATTTAAAAACTGAACTACTAAATACTGCTCATGTCTATAGGTGACGGTTACTACTTTCCATCAGGTGGGCCGACAGCTTGTTTGCCATTCTAAGATTCTAAAAAAAAAATTGATAGAAAATTCATTTAACGAAACTGATAGTATATTTACTATTATATATGTATTCTTAATCGGAATCATAAAAAAGACATTATCGTTATAATCGTATCTTAGAAGTTGCTCTATTTAATTCTGAGTTCTTATTCTTATTATCTTACGATACGATGCGAGACTTTGGCAAGTCCCGTGCCTTTACATAACAATTCGGGACGCATTGCTCTACCTTGACGCATCCGTAGGAAAGAGATCTTTGGACCGTAGTGACTGGTGACAATAAGGATTTTCTGGGGAGGGAAGGATACCATTCTTTAGTATTAGGTCAAATTAACTTCACGCGGTTCCCATTACAATCCAGCGTGGTCAATTCCTAGCAAATTCGTCACGATTGGCCAACTGACTTGACTTCCTCTTTATCTATCATCAACTAAGCCAGTAACTTGTTCGTGGTACCCTATCAGCGTATACCAGTAATAAGATACTTGGCCTGTCGTAATGCATTCATCATGAAATAACTACGTGGGTTACCATGGGGGGTCGCGCGGAAATTAGTCCGTCATGGTATATCGTTAGCAATGGGGTCGCTAGTTCCCACTGCTAACAATCCCACCCTTTATTTCCCATCTTTTATCATCGAACCGCTCGCTATTGACAGGGAATTCATTCTCACACGCTTAAACTTAAATACGTACAGTACAGTGCGGTTTTAAAGGAATTTTCTCCCGCAAACGCCCAGGCTATAGAATGAGCTCCCTGCTGAGGTTTTCCTAGAGACTACAGTATGGGGTTCTTTAAAAGGGTATATTAAGATTTCTTCAGGGTCGGCGACGCGCAAGTGACAGCCCTAGTTTTGCAGACGTCCGTAGGCTACATCGACCGTTTACGATAAAACGTGCTGTATGCTTGTTTGCCACTTTTATCGTATAAAAAAATACCTTCATCGTCATAGTAGTGGTAAGTAGAGCGACAACTTTATCATATAACGTTTTTTATAGCAGTCTAGAAGCCTAAGTTCAGTATTGGATAATGAATAGCCGAAATGATGATCCTATATACATATTTGATAGTATATTATGTTTTATAAACGTGCCGATAATACATTATTTGCGGCTGCATTACCTACGAAGGGAGCGTACCTTATCTCGTCGAGATTTGTCGGTCCCCGCCTTCCTTCTCTGTACGCCTCGATTCTGATACCTTTTATGATAGTACCTGATAACGTCCGACCCGGATGATGAACTCTTGAGGTCCTAGGTATAATATTTATTTATTTATTTTCTTGTACATGTATGTGTTATTTTCCTATACATATAAGGCAGACTTAATGCTTAAAGCATTTTCTCAGAGTCAACTTTAGGGAAGTGTTAGAAAACTCGAATGCGGTACTAGTCATAATTAATATACATACATACAAAAATTTACTTATATAAAGAAATAACAATAAAATAAATAATAATAATAACCAGAGGCAGACTTTGTACAAAAGTCCATTGCTTGGGTACCTCTGTCCCATTCGTGTTTCAACCGTGAATCAGTTGTGTTGCATGGTGCATGGCTGTGTTTCGGTTTGAAGGGTGGGATATGGCGTGAATTTACTGGATACAGAGGAATAACACCTGAGTCCTCAGGAATGGCAACGCATGGGCGAAACAGTATATGTACTCTGTCTATAGGCGACGGTTACCACTTTCCATCAGGTGGGCCGTCAGCTTGTTTGCCATTCTAAGTTGTATAATATATATATATATATATATATATATATATATATATATATATATATATATATATATATATATATATATATATAAACAAATTTACTTACACATATATAAGATATACTATTATGTTTAAACTACAAATTAAAGATTATTCCATTAGACATAAAAGTTGTAAGCATATTTTGATTAAATGAATTATGATTATATCAATTTATTTTTTATAAGACATATTATTAATTAATTTATTTATAGAGTATGGTATCTAGCTTGATGATATTAGGAGATTTCATTGCTTACTATATGCATTTCTATGCCATAACTTGTAGGCGATGTAAGTGCACAATAATTTATTGAAATAGTAACATTACACTATTAAGTACTTAGATATTACCTGGAGTTGTAAATTAGAAATAAGAGAAATAAATATATGGATAGAATTCATTTAATAAATTAAATTCGTTGATATATAAACTTTTATAACATATGAAATTTACATAGATAGATCATGTCCCGTGTTTTCTTGATTTAAGAAAAAAAAAAAAATTAGTTGTACTCTTTTATTTGGACCCAGATTGTGGAACCAAGTGAACATCACATAATATCCAGTAACACTAAAACAATCAATGAGTTTGCTGTCTTAACATTTTACATGTAAATTATAAGCAATTTTTCAATCTATAATATGAATCGCTGTATAGTTAGTATACATATACATATTTACAACAGGAATTTTATGAACTTATTATGTTTGTCGTTTCCGATAATAGTTTTGACTTCATCTGTAATTTTCTTCAGGGGAAGTACGGGGCTTTGCGTCACAGCATCTCATCTGAAGAAGTCGTCCCCCTGAAGAATACTTTCGGATGAAGTCGAAAAGGATAACGTCGAAGTAAAATTAATATGTACCCATCTTTACAATCTAATGTTATAATTTATAAAGTTTATAACTAATATTGTTACTTGTCGAAACAACCAAAAACACTTACTTTATGCCTCAATTCCTAATTAGTATTGAATATTTTGTCTTTTCATATATGAATTACCAGACTATTATGACACTTATTCTCTTCGCACTACCGTTGATAGATGACGTATTATCTACTCTATATAAATACTTCTGCGTCATAATCACAATACCTACAAAGTGACACTAGAGATATGCCATATGATATTGAACCATTGTATACGATCGTCTTAAATTATTAAATGGAATTTGAAGACAGGATTGCTCGAGTTCAGTCGCGTACGGAGATCGCGTGGGCTTAGGTCCTGTAGAGATGTAACGACCAGTTATAGACTAATTTTCCAATAAAAATAAATAATACGGCTCAGGAGCGGTCAAAATAGTGACCATTTACGCGTGTTCAACCGGTCGAAGCGCGGGGCCGCGCCCTCGTCCTGAGTGACGTATTCCCGTTCTATTTTTGAAATTTTCCCGCCAAAGTTTTCTTCATAAAGCAAATGGCTTTTTCGATGGTCGGCACGGTCGTTGAATATTCAACCAGCAATTTGCTGATAAAAAATTACGCTTACTAACTTGTGTAACAGACGTTAATAATAAAGACTATCACAGTGGATCCTTTTGTGAAGAGAAAGATGAAAATTTTCAAAAAGAAGCTCCGTTTTTCAATACCTTCGAATTATGTATGAAGTTAACGCACTTTAATACTGTAATAGTGGAAGGTTGTTTAAACATTTGTCTAATCTCACATATCAGCAGCGACTGCAAATATCATCTATAATTGTTATTGAAGGTAAGAATTACTTCATTGAATAATAGCATCTATTTGTTTACATGTTAAAAATTATATTACTTTGTTTGAGTTATTTAAGAATTAACATATGTACTTACCTATTAATTAATATGTAGGACTTTATTTAGCAAAAAGGCTTCTCGAAATTTTTACGAAATTAGAACGGGAGTGAATTCTATGTATTGTAATAAGAGTTATCATAATTAGTTTTGTCATTGAAGTCGATTCTGAGGTTTCATTGTTCTACACAAACACTTTTAACCTAATAACTTAATAGTTTCATGAAATTACTGTTTTATATATCAAATTGTAATAGAAATAACTACATGTAATAGATTAAGAAAACACTAGGTCTCATGTTGCATATTGAGGTCAATGATATGTCCTGGAATAGAGGTGACTGGAAGAATATGCATGAATTAATTGCACCAACAAGAGTAGACACTTAAATGAAAATAGAGAGATACTAAATTTAAAATATTTTTTACTTAAATCTATTAGAAACTTTATCAGATCAGCCGCATGCTCATTTGCCCTCTGTCTTATAAAAAAAAAATTCGTATAGGTCCTTAGAATAAAGAGTGATATCACATTGAAATTTAAATATTAGAGATAAGTTTAGATCATATATACATCATATATCGTCATACAAATGCTTCCCTCAAATTAGGTCAATTTTTTTATCTATGCGTGAATAGGGTTACCATAATTTATTAGTAAGTACATGTACATAATTTATTAGTAAGTATATGGGTGAAAATATATTGTAAGATTAAATGAAAAATAAAATCGATACAAAATACTTACAGTATATTTGAGCGAACCAGATAAGTAGTCCATAATGATTCGTAATGATGCTTATCTTTACGAATCATTATTTGATTTATACCTGAATAAAGATATAAAACATGTTTTTGTTTTTAAATATATGTCATTGAAAATAATCAATTTGATTCATCATCACCATCATTATATTGGCCTTTAACTGTCCACTGTTGAACATAAGCCTCCCCCTTGAATTTTGACAGTAGTTACCATGCTTGGCAGCCGGATTAGCAACCGCAGTTAGGCTTTGGTGATGTTTTAAGAGGAACTCTGCTACCCATCCCGCGCCCTCCTTAGTCGTCTCTCACCACACCTACGGAAAAGGAATGGGTGGCTTATTCTATGCAGGTACCACACGGCAGTATAAATTCATATAGGTATATTATTCTAAGTTTTTCTAACTAAAAGTTTATAGGCAGCATGGTCTCCGACCTTAGACTGTTCCACAACGGAACAAACGTACTAAAAAAAAAAAAACTAAAAGTTGACAGATTTTTTGCACATGACACTATTTATAAATTTGTATATAAATTTAAGGTTTAAAGAAATGGCGGGTACATGACACCAGGTGTGCTGTTAACATGTTTATCCAATTCTTTAAAAAAAATCTTATTTATCAATTTTGAAATTTTGTTTTTTAATTTAATTGTGTTTGTCTAATAAATCAAGTATCTAGACAATCTCTAAATTCTATCGGATCTGAAACGAAGGCGTAACCAGAGGCTAAATTCGTCGAATGATTAATTATGTAGTGTCCAGACGGCTTGTTAAGTACTCAAGCCCAGTCAGTGAGTTTGTAGTGTCCATTAATACGATCAGTCCCATTGCACCAATCTGACGTGGAATAATTTCTTCCACTGACTGAACTGAGAATAGAATTTGGGATTTAAATTGAATACCAAAAAATAAGTGGCGTTTTAAGTATTCGTGTTTCAACCGTGAAGTAGTTGCGTTTGCATAGCTGTGTTTCGGTTTGAAGGGTGGGATATGGCGTGAATTTACTGGGTACGGAGGAATAACACCTGAGTCCTCAGGAATGGTAACGCATGGGGGTATCATGGGCGAAACAGTATACTCTGTTATGTCCATGGTACTGCTCATGTCTATAGGCGACGGTTACCACTTTCCATTAGGTGGGCCGTCAGCTTGTTTGCCATTCTAAGTTATATAAAAAAAAAACAGTGCAAGACAAAAGAAATATATAAATAACAATATTTAATTATTTATATGGGCCCTTATAGGGAAGACCTATATTCAGCAGTGGACAGTTGTGGACGGCTGATATGATGATGATGCATTATTTACGTATTAACAATAAATTGTTGACTATTTGTTAATTAGAAATTAAAAAAAATTAAATATGTGAGTTGTTTTATTGTTGTTGTTGTTGAAAAATTAATTATGTCATTGTTTAACAATGTACACTTTATTCAAAGTTATTGAAAATGTGTGTCGATATAAAAAAAAATGGCAGTTCCAATTTTAAAAATTATTGTTTATGCTTTATGACATAATAATTTTTAATATGAAATAATAATCATAGATAAAAAGTCCAATGACAATTTAAAAAGAGAAAATGTTAAGTTCAATTTAACACAATTCGTATAATTCTTTTTCGTTTTTTTATAAAAAGTCGTTCCTGTACATTGTTATAAACAGCCGTGTAAATATACAAATTCCTCGACAAATATTACACTCGTAACCGTACATCACGAGGATAAAGAGTGATATGCAAATGCGTTTTTTATTTCAACAAATTATTAAGATAAGCACTTTAGATTATATTATCTTGTTATTTTCGTCTAAATTGAGAGAAAATTTACTTACTGTTACACTTTTCAATGTGCTACAATGTGTAACAGTTTTTTTTACGGGTGAAAATGAAATGGTAATCCTACGTTATTGGTATACGCCGATAGGACATCAGTGAAAAATAATATACTCGTAGGCGAGGGTGAAAGCAGGTCATTTGGTTAATCGTAACGAATTCAACAAGAATTAACTACGATAGTTCTCAAACCATCAAGTCAACCAGATAGTGTAGCTGTGTGATTTTAAACCCCATTACTAGGGTATCATGAGCGAAACAGTATACTCTCTTATATCTATGGTACTGCTCATGTTTATAGGTGACGGTTACCACTTTCCATCAGGTGGGCTATCAACTTGTTTGCTATTCTAAATTGCATAAAAAAAAAATAACGATCCCTTTCCCGAGTTCAACTTGCACTCGGCCGGTGTTTTTTTTTTATAAATAGGGTGAAAAAGTAATTATAATTGGACACAATGAATTTATAACAAGACGATTGTTAATATCTTAAAGTAAAAACTGAATGGTTGATATCTATCTGGCTAACGTATGCAAATAACTTGTCTAAAGATACTCTCGACAGCAAAGTGACATATTATTTACGTGTAAGTAGCATTAGTGGCTGTAACAATTTTCATGAAATTTTGTTTCGCAATTCTAATTTCAATTAGATTGAAATATGGAGATGATAAAGGCTCTTAGTCTATTGTGCTAAATCTTATCAAACCAGAAGTAAAAGGAACAAAAAAAAAGAAGAAAAAAGAACTCTATGTTGATGTATTTGCTGTATAAAAATTTGAGACATTAAAATATAAGCTAGCAGTGGTAATAAATAAAGGCGGGAGACACTGATGGAGTAGCGTTTCAATCTCCGATGGCTTTATTTATTTATACAATTACAATTTATACAAGTGGCGAGTATGCTGTATGGCATTCTTTACCAGCTAACCATTAAGTAAAAACAGGTTTTCTTCCTTTTACAGAAAAAAATCTTCCCTTTACAGTATAAAAAAGTACCCTCACTTTTTTATTGAAATTTTGTAGCCAAATTTTTTACTTTTCCGTATAATTTTTTAATATTTTCTTTCATACAAACTTCGTCGTGACAATTGCAAACATAATAGAACAATTTAAGTTTGTGTTCCACAGTAAACTTGGTATGTTTATTTAAAAATTGAACTGCTGAACCGATTTTGATAGAATTTATATATTATTAATCTGAATATATATCTAATATGGTGTACGAGATGGGAAAATATTGTTACACCACATTTTAAATTCGACCATCAGCAACAGCACTGTGAAAATTACATTCAATTTGGTGCAGTAGTTTGCGTATGTAACAGACCGACAAAAGTTCTAAACATTATTGTTTCAAGTTCTAAGGTCCTTTATTATTTTTATTTTATATCTTCAATATACATACATATTTACAATTTTATTATATGTACTAGCGCTATCCCTCGTCTTCATTCGTGGTAAAATCGTGATGTTTAATATTTAATAGCCAATAAACTTCTTTGAGAAGTGAGCTATTAAATAAAAAACCAATTGATAATACCAGATATTGGCGTTTTCAAACAAACAGTTTCGCTTCTATATTTTAGTATAGTACCTATTATATAATCTATGGCAAAGAATGTCACAGATATAGAATAAAAAAAAAAAACTGTCCCTAAAGTAAAAAAACAAACCATCTCTAGATTTATAGTAATATTTTGAAAAGTTTGATTGCAAAAGTTATTAGCTGATTAAAGATGAGTACTTTTTAAATGCGCTTTATTTTTAATGCTACTTTTTAATCTCTACGCTTCTTGGGTAATCTCAAGAGGCACCGAGTTGATATATCAACGCCGAGGTGTTGATATTTCGCAGGCGTATTATTACAAAGATCGTGAAGCAATAAATGTTAGTGACGTGTCATTATGATTACAGATGCTTTCATGTCGGTCTTAATCTATCCTGAACATGCTAGGTTACTCCGCCTTTGATCTAAGATATAAACCGGTACGTACGTACATTCATATTAACTAGAGCAATTATGTGTTACTGTTATGGGGTGATTACGTCCAATGTCATAGCTTCCATTGGCTTTTATTAACCCTATGTTATTATACTGGACTTATATATCTAGCTGTTTATTATGTTCATTAAATTTTGATGTTTGGATTTTTATTATCATTTTCTGATACTTTATTGAATTTTTGACCGATTTTAAAGAGAAGGACGTCTTTTTTTATACTCGATAATATTGGAACAACCTTATCGAGTCTTGACATCTATCTGTCAAATTGTATTAAAAAAAGGAAATCTATTGTGTCAAGAATCTGTATTTTTATTAATTGTTGAACATTTCTCATTCTCC